GTGGTTGACCATCAGTGTTGTTTTTTAAGAGGTCGTAGAGGGGACTGGCGATCGGGAGAGCTGCGACAATTCTTCCAGGTAACGTACCTCCTTCTTGAAAAGCTACAATTTTTGGTTTTTAAACTTTACTCCATGGGATTGCAACTTATCAGTACTCTCAGTACGCTTCTACTGTTTGTCAAAGGACTCAGTGAAGACCAGGATGTCATCTAAATAAGGTATTCTAATTTTACCTCTCAATCCTTCAGGCATTCCTCATAAACCGCCGGAATGCTGCATGCGTATTCATAGGCAGAAAGGGATACGAATCCATTCGTGAAGGCCCATGGTGTCATAAATCCAGTCAGATACCTGCTTGCTGGGAACATGAACCCATGGTGGTATGCCTTTTCCCTGGTCCAGAAGAGAGAACCACGGATTGCTCCCCAAGCCATCTAGGATATCCTGCCACTGGTTATTGGCTGCCAATCAGGGATTGTTTTGCTGTTCATGCCCCTATGTCAATACACAGCCTGAGACTGCCATCTTTTTTTGGAAGCAGAGAATGGGCGATGAGACTTGGTCACCCATCCTTGAGCAATCGGGTCGTGTAAGTAGTCCTTCATTTCTTGGTATAATGGTTTAGAAACTGATGTGTATGTGCGGGTAACAGGGGTGCTATCATTTAAAGAAATGCTCAGTTGTAAATCTAGAACACAGCCAATATCATCATCTGACTTTGAGGCATGACTTTCCTCCCACAACATCAGCTTCAATTGTTGTTGTTGGAGCAGAGTAAAATGGCTCACATCAAGTGGAGGGTCCCATGAATCCTGGTTGCCATTTGTTTCTGGTGGACCCTGAATGACAGAGGCTGTGGCTTTAGCGTTGGCAAGACAGACTTAAACAGCTGCAATGTTCCTAGCTCTATCCTGCCGCTGAGTGTGATGTCATGGTCTGTTCCATTCTCCACACTGATAGTAACCATTGGGCGACCTTCCCTTTTTTCGGAGCGAGGAGGGTATCAAAAAGTTCAAGGCCATCACGATTTGTTGCAGTCACCAAATGAATGAAGGTGTGTACTCTATTTTTCTTTATGCTAAGGAAAGCTTTTCTGAAAGTTCTGTACAAATACGCACCAGTTGTGGCCGTGGCCTGGTGATTTTTACTCCTACAGCCAGCTGAGAAGTGCTCACTGCTGCCACAGTGGTAACAATAGGTGCAAGGTTCCTCTGCTTGACGCTGCTGGCAATGGAAACATTGTCTGCTCGTGAAGGACGGGGCTTGGGATGGGAAACTGATAAGGGGACGGTTGTGGTGGCTCCATGTACTGCTGGGGATAATACTGTGATGCTGCAAAACCTGAAGGATGACTTGTATAAGTGATGGACATGGGCTGCTGCTGAGGAGAAGAACACACGTATAGATGTCCATGGTGATTCTCTGGAATGTCTTCTAGTAGCTGTGTCGAGTGAAATCTGAATAATTCCCTTCCAAATCTCACAGAGACGGAGATATTGAGTATTAGCTGTCCATGAGCTAGCAGCAGGATCAACTTTATTACTCTCTATGGGCTTCTCCCTCAACTTTATCGGACTTTATTCCTCCACGTCCGAAGCTTGCGAGCTTCTCCTCCTGTCTATATGGTATTTCTCTAATGTCAACAGAGAGTCGATTCGTTATGACGCAATAGTTAGCCTGTTTTTACAAAATTGCTTCTACAGGGCCATAACGTAAGATACATGTAATGGAGCCTTTTATACATTGTCGTGTTTCTTCATAAATAAATAATGGACAAATGGAGTCTTTGGACGCCTCAGATGTAAAATTATTCGCTGTCAAAGTGACACCCAAAATTAATGGGAGTCAATGGAATTCTAACAATGGCAGCCCCCCGCGAGGCTTACCCCTTTGACCACACTCGGACACATTTCTAACCGGCATGCCGCATATCTCGCGCTGATCACTAGTGATCGGTTCTGCACAGATTTTGCTCATCTCAAACAAGCATAATGAAGCACATCACAGCACGCACCAAACTAAAGTGCGATGACGTCATGCCAAATTAAAATAATGAATTTAATAAATGAACATAACACTCTTCTTTTTTTTAAACAAAGCACAAATAAGCATTTAAACAATATTATAAAAATAACATTTACTAATATAATGCATTTGAAAAGATACCCTATATACATAAAATCCCATAATAAAATCCACTATATCACATCTGCAATGGCCACAGACAATTTGAGGAAGTGATGAGGGAAGTGATGTATGCCGTAAAGCAGTCGAATTTTGTAGTTCTTTTTGTGCTCTGGTTACTACTCGAAACCTGAAGTTACATATGCAAGTAAAAGCGAAACAGTCCACGTCAGGCTGTGGCAGACCTGCCATTTAACCTATTGTAAGTCGATGTACCATCACAAGGGTCTTAGAAATATCCCAGCTAACAGGGAACGTTCTCAGAACTTTGGCTAACATTCCCTGGAGGTTTGGTTAATGTTTTAAATAAAACATTTGAATGCAATGTTTAAAGAATGTTTTAAGGATGTTTTCTCATTTCAAATAATGTTCCTATAAGGTTAAATGTAAACTAAGATATAACATTTTCACTGTAACATTTTGTGAATGTTTTGGGAATGTTGCTGAGATAACAGATTAAACAATGTTCTCAATAAAACATTAGCACAATATCTCATAATAACAGAGGAGGAACATTATTAAATCAACGTTCGCAAAATGTTTTGAGGATATTATTTAGGCCTGAGATGATGGAATGTTTTTATAAAACGTTCTTGTAATGTGACTTGTTAACAAAACTAGAACATTGTCACTGTAACATATTGAGGATGTTTTGGGAATGTTGTTGAGATAACAGATATTAGAATGTTATCAATAAAACATTGGTACAATGTCCCATAAAAACAAAGGAGGAACATTATCAAATCAACGCTCGCAAAATGTTATGAGGATATCATTGAGGCCTGAGATGACTGAATGTTTTTTATAAAACATTCTTGTAATGCGACGTGTTAAGAAAACTAGAACGTTTTAAATTTAACATTTTGAGGATGTTAATGAGGTAAAGGTTTGTAGAATGATCTCTTATAAAACATTGAAACAATGTTCCATGATAACAGAGGAGGAACATTATCAGGTTAACGTTCGCAAAATGTTTTGAGGATACTATTTAGTCCTGAGATGATGGAATGTTTTTTATAAAATGTTCTTGTAATGTGACATGTTAACAAAACTAGAACATTTTTACTGTAACATGTTGAGGATGTTTTCGGAATGTTGTTGAGATGACAGATATTACAATGTTCTCAATAAAACATTGGTACAATGTCCCATAAAAACAAAGGAATAACATTATCAAATCAACTTTCACAAATGTTATGAGGATATCATTGAGGCCTGAGTTGATGGAATGTTTTTTATAAAACGTTCTTGTAATGTGACGTGTTTAACAAAACTAGAACGTTTTAAATTTAACATTTTGAGGATGTTAATGAGGTAAAGGTTTGTAGAATGATCTTTTATAAAACATTGAAACAATGTCCCATAATAACAGAGGAGGAACATAATCAAATTAACGTTCGCAAAATGTTTTGAGGATATTATTTAGTCCTGAGATGATGGAATGTTTTTTATAAAATGTTCTTGTAATGTGACATGTTAACAAAACTAGAACATTTTCACTGTAACATGTTGAGGATGTTTTGGGAATGTTGTTGAGATAACAGACATTACAATGTTCTCAATAAAACATTGCTACAATGTCCCATAAAAACATAGGAATAACATTATCAAATCAACTTTCACAAAATGTTATGAGGATATCATTGAGGCCTGAGTTGATGGAATGTTTTTTTATAAAATGTTCTTGTAATGTGACGTGTTTAACAAAACTAGAACGTTTTAAATTTAATATTTTGAGGATGTTGATGAGGTAAAGGTTTGTAGAATGATCTTTTATAAAACATTGAAACAATGTCCCATAAAAACATAGGAATAACATTATCAAATCAACGTTCGTAAAATGTTTTGAGGATATTATTTAGTCCTGAGATGATGGAATGTTTTTTATAAAATGTTCTTGTAATGTGACGTGTTAACAAAACTAGAACATTTTCACTGTAACATGTTGAGGATGTTTTGGGAATGTTGTTGAGATGACAGATATTACAATGTTCTCAATAAAACATTGGTACAATGTCCCATAAAAACGGAGGAGGAACATTATCAAATCAACGTTCGCAAAATGAGGATATCATTGAGGCCTGAGTTGATGGAATGTTTTTTAATAAAATGTTTGTAATGTGACGTGTTTAAACATTAACACTGTAAGGATGTTTTGGGAATGTTGTTGAGATAACAGATATTACAACGTTCTCAATAAAACACTGAAACAATGTTCCATAATAACAGAGGAGGAACATTATCAAATCAACGTTCGAAAAATGTTTTGAGGATATCATTGAGGCCTGAGATGACTGAATGTTTTTATAAAACATTCTTGTAATGTGACGTGTTAACAAAACTAGAATGTTTTAAATGTAACATTTTGAGGATGTTGATGAGGTAAAAGTTTATAGAATGATCTTTCATAAAATATTGAATGTAGGCCTACCATAATAACAGAGGAAGAACATAATCAAATTAACGTTCGCAAAATGTTTTGAGGATATTATTTAGTCCTGAGATGATAAAATGTTTTTAATAAAACATTCCTTTAAATTGACTTTTTAACAAACATTTTGCATGATACATTTTGAGGATTTTTTGTCGAAATGTTGTTATCTTTTATAAATCATTGGCACAATAACAAAGGAGGAACATTATCAAAGCAACATTCATCAAATGTTTTGTGGACATTAACCTGAGATGACAAAATCTCATAATATATGTTAACAAAAGCTCATAAAATTGTAAGGATATTTTAAGGAAGCTGTTTAGGTAACAGATTTTAGAATTATTTTAACCTATAGAATAATGGCATAAAAAAGGAACATTGTCAAAACAGCATACGTAAAGTGTTTTGAGGATATATTAGGCTACTCTGAACTGAACTGTTGCGACAAATGCGTTTACAAGAGATGAGAAGCTGATTGGAGGTCGCTGTAGATCGACGTTTAAAACCACCAATCACAGCGCGATGTTCCCATGACGTAAGAACATTTGAACTCGTCGACAAACAGCGCAAATAAAGCAACGTTTTTCTGTTGAAGAAATCGGCGCAGAATGTCCGTTGTCTAAATTGGCGACACATTGAGATGCTACTGGACACATTGGCCCAAAACAACAGAACTCCTGGTCAACGGAACTCTTTCACAACTGTAAGTTTTTGTGTGTATTTTTTCAGTTTACATTGCTTTCTCTTATATCCTTGATGTCTTTCAGTATTAGACCTAACTTTCTACTTTCTTAGAATTGTATGACAGTCGCAATAAATCGACTGAGTGTATGCTACTTTTGAATAACAGCTAGATTTGTTTTGATGCAGACTCCAAACGGACTGTTTCAAGATGATTAACTTACCGATGACACAATAAAGTCTCCATTTACAACCAAGGTAGCCTACTATAATGCCGGTATTGTGTTCTATGCATACGAATACTGTAGCCTATTTTTACTTAAAAGTGATCTTAATGTCTTTTGAAAGTAAAAGTTAATAATATTTCAGTAATTCATATAACGTTAGAGGTTAACGTTAATGAATTGGAAAGAGCGTTTCTCAAGGCTTCAGGTGTATATAACATTTTTCTTTCAGATGAATACTATCTGAGTTATATTTAAAAAAATGCCCTGACTCTTCTGACTTTTAGAATGGCAGTGAATGGCCGTCTATCAAGGCGCATCCATCCATGATAAAAGTAATCCACCACACGACTCTGGCGGGGTTATAAAGCCCTTTTAAAGCGAAGCATTTGTGTAAGAAAAATATCCATTTTTAAAACTTTATTGGATTACGATATTGGATACATGGATTAAGTATGTTTTAAATTACAGAAACAAAAAAGATACTCATAATTTATCATATTTATACTTTCAATAAATTAGTCTTTACATAATTTCTGACTGCTAATTAGGCTGGCTAATTTTGAAAGTTTTCAATGTCAATATTGCTTGTGATCTTAATGTATGTGTATTCTTTATGTTTACACTTTTGCATGATCTTCTTTTTTAGGCTATGAGGAAAAACTCTACCGTGGCGTGCACACAGAGAACAGAGCTCAATGCTGCTAACTGGGGGAGCAGCTGGACAACTAGAAGAGAGAATAGTAGAACACTATTATTAATACAGATTCCTGGATTATTCTTCTGCAGAAACCAAAACAAGCAAAGACTGATGATGAGTGCTCTGAGCAAACACCGGAGTCAAGACGCATGAGTGACTTTACAGAATTCTTCATGTAATGTTGGGCATTTACTGTACGCAGAACTTCTAATAATTTATGTGGATGCCATTTATAAACCTGTTAGATTTTGATGTTTTAGTTTTTAGATTAATAAAATGTTATGCTTTAACAATGTTATAGCTAATCATTTTTGAGGGGTTTTAAGAGAACATTTTGGGAACAAAAATAAACTTCCGCTAAAAACTTTATAAGAAAGTTAGGGGATAATGTTTTAAAAATGTTATGATTAAACCTTTATAGAAGGTCATCACAAAACATTTTCAGAGTGTTCTTAGAGAATGTTATGCCATCTTTTAAGAGAACATTCTGGGAACAAAAAGAAAACTACCCGCTGAAAATTATATAAGAACGTCAGGGAATAATTTTCTAACAATGTTAGCATTTAACATATTTAGAATATTTTTAGAGAATGTTATTAGAACTTTTAAGAGAACATTCTGGGAACAAAAAGAAAACTACCTGCTGAAAATGTTATAAGAACATTAGGGAATAATGTTCTAACAATGTTAGCAATAAACATATTTAAAATGTTTTTAGACAATGTTATTAGAACTTTTAAGAGAACATTTTAGGAACCAAAAGAAAACTACCCGCTGAAAATGTTATAAAAACATTAGGGAATAATGTTCTAACAATGTTAGCAATAAACATATTTAAAATGTTTTTAGACAATGTTATTAGAACTTTTAAGAGAACATTCTGGGAACAAAAAGAAAACTACCCGCTGAAAATGTTATAAGAACGTCAGGAAATAATGTTCTAACAATGTTAGCATTTAACATATTTAGAATGTTTTTAGAGAATGTTATTAGAACTTTTAAGAGAACATTTTAGGAACCAAAAGAAAACTACCCGCTGAAAACATTATTAGAACACTGCATGGTAATGTTCTCAGAACATTTTTAGAACAAAAAAATCCTAGCTGGGATATTAGGAAGGTTGAAAAACTACATAAGTGTAACTTTAATATTTTGAATTAACAAATAAAAACACTGATCTTATCATTTTATTTTTCTTTATAATATTGACATTTCACTACATTCACTGTGAGTATATATCTCAGCCCATTCTCACCCCCAAGGCGTCACCTAACTGACCATTTTGACCATGCTTCAATATTTGATGCTTTAGACGCCCTTTAGCGTCAGTTAGATGACGCCCAGGATCGCGCGTAACCCACCCCCACCCAAACCTAACCGCGTCATCTAACTGATGCTTTCCTTTAGCGTAGGATCGCGTCATGTGACTGATGCTAAAGGGCATCTAAAGCATCAAATATTGAAGCATGGTCAAAGGTGACACCTTGGGGTGAGAATGCGTTGCATATCTTCAAGTAGAAATTGGCCGTTATGCTGTATATAGTTTTTGACACTTGATCCCATTAGCCAATCCCAACTAGAAGAAGAAATAATGCTGTACTGAGAGATAGGACTCTTGCTGTTTTCCTGTGACCTGAGCGATCCTTTTTTTTTTAAACACAGTTGAGGCGATGAGTCTTTTGAAGTCTGTAATTGGAAACAGTTGATGGAGTAAAGTGGAATAACAGATCCCAGATCCGCTTCTCCAGACATATCTCCCTCCCGTAAATCCAGGCCTCTTTTCTTTGACCTTCATATAGTCCAGTTTCGGCAGCAACCCCAGAAACAGCCTTTTAGAATGAAGCATGTGTGACCTTGCTTGATGGAAACGTTCAGTGAAGCCTAAGGATGAAAACTGAATTAGACTGAATCTAATATCAAAGACAAAAGGAAAATACCTGCGAAATTGGACAGAAATTATAACAAATTGGAATTCTGCCTGTCTCTGAACAGAAAATTAAAAAGTGTCAGAATATGTGACCAACTCTTTGAAAAGTAATAGGCAAAGACTACAGACTGAGCAAACACAGACACAGGGCTGTATTTCCCCAAAGCATCATAAGCCAGTGGTTTTTAAGATCGACTTATAGGCTTACAATACTTTAATGAAATCATACTGCACTAAAATTGTACAGGCTGTGCTCTTTCTGCACACACTATGAGGTAGAAAAAAAAAAAAAACGTATCTCATAATTCTTACACCATTCTTACAATTGCAAATTTCTGCTTTTTCAGTTAAATTAATTAAAGGTAACATGGACTTAATTTCAATTTGTTCAATCCACCTCAAATTTAAAGATTTATTTATGTGTTAAACATGATTTTTTTTTTTTTTTTTTGTGGACAACTTACCCAGGCTGTGGATCTGTAGTTCCCAGCAAACCTTGCAAGGGACTGCATTAGGAGAGAACATTTAAATATTAAGAGTCATTTTATGTTTGTTTGTTTTGTTTTTGTTTTGTTTTTTTCAGTAAAGGGAAGGTTAGTGTTTAAAGTTTAAAGTTATGTTGGACATTTAGGAGTGCTAAATCACTCTTACTGATCTAAATAATACACCAGTCCAAAATAAAAGTTTGTGTTGACATGATATACAGTATGTGTGTGTATAATTATTATGTATATATATAAATACACACACATGCATGTATATTTAAGAAAAAAATATTAATTATATATAAAATATTTATATTCATATTTATATATAAATCTATATACAGTATATATACATGAAAATATTTCTTAAATATATACAAGCATGTGTATGTATATATAAAAATAATTATACACAGTGCACCCACATATATTATGTAAACACAAACTTTTATTGGATGCGATTAATTGCGATTAATTGTTTAACAGCCATATACATATATATGTGTGTGTGTGTGTGTGTGTGTATAATGATGGACAAAATTGACAGAAAATTTGTTAAACCTCTGTAACCAACCTTTTTTTAGATTAGATCAACATTAAAATAAATTGTTTCGATAAATGTAATAAAGTTATTATTAATTTCACCTTAATCAGCAAAATTGTTGACACAACTAAACAGATTTATTTATTATTAACTAAATTAAATTGCGTGTAAAAAATTCTATTAAATTTAAGTTAGGGTAATGAATTCTGTGTGTTTTGTAGATTAACCCAAAGGCATTCATACATTTTAAATTTTAAATTCTGTCATTATTTACTCACCCTCATGCGGTTGAATACCTATACCTTTAATTAATTAATTAATTAATTTTGGTGACCATTGAATTATATGGAAAAAAAATAAAATTTCTTTAATGCCTTATTTTATGTTCCACAGAGGAAAGAATGTCATATACTGTACATGAGGGTGAGTGAATGTTAAAAGAATTTTCGGGTGAACTATCCTTTATGTGTGGCTTTTGTGGCCACTGTGTCTAATTTTTATGCTTATGCTTTATCAACCTTCAGCGTTTGAAGTTCAAGTTTTATAGAAAGTTATATTATGTATTATGAATGAAACAGTTGTACTATGCAGTGAGGCCAGACAAAGGGAGACATACTGCTTACAGAGAGGGTGAACTTCAAAGCAGCAAGAAATCAAAGTTGGAGAAGAAAAATCGGGAAAGCTTGAGGGATTATACAGGATAATACCCAAGAGATTTAGTTCTTTTCTTTACCTCTCACTAACTCTCTCTTTCTCTCATTTTCTGTCATTCTCAGTTGTTGGGTGGGCCTATAATGGGGACAAATGAGAGGGGCTGTCCTAAACAGGAGTGAAAGGAACAGCTGTTGAAAGTTTGGTATGAACTCCATACGAGAACAGACTGATGGAGGTCCTAATGGAGATATGATAGAAAATACAGTTTTTGAAATACTTGAGACAATATTAAATTAGGATGACACTGTTAGAGAGTTGTGTAACACTCAAGTGTCTACAAGTGCCTGACAACACACACACACACTCAAGCCCACATCACTTACATGCACCTACATGCAAGAATCAAAGGTATTTGTTTCAAAAGGAGAGATGTAAAAAGAGAGAAAAAGAATAGCATATTCTTCCAGATTTATCTTCTTTTTTTTCCGGAGCACAGTGAGTTCAGGCCCCTGTTTTCTTTCATCCACATGTAAATCATGAAAGCTCATTTCCACAATACACCAATCATGTTGTGAAGATAGTAAAAGTACAACAACCTCACGAACATTGGAAGTTTGCAGTGCGAGCAACATTAAAGCTACACTGTGTAACTCTTTTAGTTTATTCTTAGCTAAAAACACTTAGTTCTTTCAAAAATATATGTGCTCATTAATATATGTTTACTTCGTTCAAGTAATAAAGTATTCTCGTGAGTGTATAATATACCATTGAAAATACATACGGGTAAGGGGTTCTAATGTCGGTCGCCATGTTGCCCCTCAATCTTGAAAGTACATTAGCCAAAGAGGGACATACACGCTAATGCAACCTTCACCTTTCGCGTTTACGTTTGAGTTAACACTCATGGATGAGGTCGAACTGGAAGCCATGTTAATCTTGGACTACATTGGCGACCGTAGGAGTTAAAACGAAATCGGAATTGAGAGGAATAGAAACTAATATTCACTGGATCGTCATGGGGGTAAAAATCACACAGTGTAGCTTATAGGTCTTTCTCACACAACAGCTTGAATTTTACAGTCACGTGTTTCTTGTTTACTCGACAGATGCTTAGAAAGAGGGCAGTTCAGATCTACAGTCTATGATCATTATAAACATGCTCTGTTCTCAGACTGATCTTTGCTGATCGTTGGTTGGAGACAACATTGATTGTATCAAAGCTTTACAAAAATCAGAGATCAAAAGAATCAGAACAGCTGCGCATCAGATGACACATGTGCATTCACTTCACTTATTGTAGTCATGCCATGCAGGTGTTTTTATGCAGATCTTTTTTTCACGAGTCATTATTTCTTACGTTTGTTATTCATTAATCCTTCAAGTTTATGTGAATTTGAGTGTAAAGGACTGGACCATAGAAAAATATTCCATTTATTTTATGTGGGGGGAGGGGGTGGAGATTAATTTGTTCATTAATTCATTTAACAGAAGCAAGACTAATTTTCATATTGTCCCTTGCCAGTTTATTAAAAATCTGTGATCTAAAATGAACGTAAATCAAGTTATCACGAATTTCACATATAAAATTAAGCATTCAGACCAATATTCAAACCAACAGGTTACACAAACTAGTGATTTTTACATTAATGTATTTAATGCAAGTTCAAATAAAGTAATTGCTTTATAGCTTAATAACTCTAATCTAAAGTTCATACTTGACTAGACTAATAACACTTGTAATAAAAACTTGTACTAAAGCTGTTGCATTCATTTAATATAACAGCATATACCTAAAATTTAAGACATGACATAAAAAAACCATGTGATTTTTTTTTTTTTTTTTTTACAGATTACCTGGGATATAATACAATTTCTGGAATTGTTTTCATTTTCTTTCACTTTGGGAATATTCTGTTAGCATATATGTCTTCTAACCCCTAAAATAATCACACAAGTGTCTGCATCCAGTAAAAGCAGGGGTGTTAAAGGTTAAAATGGACTTGGCATTCCTTCTGGATTTTTTTTCCCCCCAGCCCCTGTAGCAGGGGTACACATGCGTACAGAGAGTGTGGGGCAGGAGGCGGGATGTCCTACTTTAGGAGGGAACGTGAAATTTCAAAGACTAGTGGCCCCTTCCTCAGAATTCACCACATGCTTTCATTCTTTCTGCTTGTCTACCCATTCTGTTTTTTCCCATGGAAATGAACACATCCACACACACACACACACACTCACAGATCACATGGGATCAGTATAATGGAATAACATTTCCTTCAGACAAAAGGAAATATGTGAAGGATAAGATTTTCTACTGTACTACTTTTGTATAGTATTTTGTATATTAAGTAGGCTATTTTACACAAGTATGTGTATCAGGGCTGAAAACTCATAAAATGACAAGTCTAAGAAAAAAACTCTTGTCTTTTTCGCCCTGCCTCTCTTTCTCATTCCCTCCCTCTCTCAGAGTAACCATGTGCTTTTCGTGTCAGTAGACACATTTAACCCTCTCCTCAGAATAACCGCTGCACAGACAGCTGTCTCTTTTTCTCTTTTCTTTGAATTCTCCTTCACTCACTCCTGTGGTGTTCTTTGTGTCCATTCTCTGCAGGTTTTTTTTTTTTCCTCTTCATGGCACTAAACTTTCCTGTAGAAGAATTTATGTAACCTCAACAGGACAGAGACCTTAAACACATAAATGCTGGAGGAAGTCACAACATAAAAACGTCCAACAAGAAAGTTTTGAACGGTGGGAGCAACTTCAAAAGTCTGAGGATTACTGAGAGAAAAGAAGGACCATCAGGCTGAAAGAGCGGGACCATGCCGGGCTGTCAAATCCGGACTGGGTTTGTGCCAGTTGTGCTGATCTATTTCTTTCTGCTGTTGGCATCTGATTCAGGGAATGCACGCATGATCAGGAAGAGGGGACTCAACCAAAAGGTGAGGTGTGTGTGTGTGTGTGTGTGTGTGTGTGTGTGTGTGTGTGTGCACGCACTTGACTGACACTAGACGCCTCTTATACTCATCAAGGCTGCATTTATTTGATAAGCGGCCACTTTTTTTGAAGAAATATAGTACACTAATGTACACTGTTTTTGAAAGAAGTCTGTTATCAAGAATTGTTTTTATGTTTTTGAAAGAAGTCTGTTATTCTGAACAAGGCTGCATTTATTTGATCAAAATACAGAAACAATTTTAATATTGTGAAATAAAATTAAAATAACTCTTTTATACTTGAAAATGTAATTTATTCCTGTGATGGCAAAGCTGAATTTTCAACATCATTAGGCCTACTCCAGTCTTCAGAGTCACATGATCCTTCAGAAATCATTCTAATATGATGATTTAGTGCTCAAGAAACATTTCTTATAAATATCAATGTTGAAACTGTGTTATATTTTGCATTTATTTGAAATAGAAACCATTTGTAACACTATAAATGTATTTTACTTTTGATAAATGTAATACGTTTTAAAAAGTATAAACATAAAACTTACCGGTACTTACCGTATACTGGTATTGAATGATATTATTCACTCACCGTATTTATTATGATATTGCATGGCACTATGGTATACATACAAAAATATGGTATTACTAAGCTATTACAAAAAGTACATTAAAAGTGTAACTTTTTTGGTACTTTTTGAATGGAATGGAAAATATTTTAGTGCTGGGCAAGAAAAAAGATCCATTTATAATTATACTATCTTTTATATTTGTATTTATCTATATATTTTTTCCTATTAATTCAAATACATGTGCAAATATGCAATCTGATGTGATAATTGCATGATTGTCATGTTCATACCATATTTTGGTATCAAGGTAGTGATTGGTACCAACCATAATGATATACCATGGTATTTTCATAGTACTATGGTACATGTTTAAAAAATGGCATGATACCATGTCATACCATATTCATACATTTGATCGGGAAAATGGTAATGCCATGGACGGTACTCTTTTGGCCCTTTGTTGGTAGTGTAGGCAGAGGATGGCATCTGTGAGACTTTTAGGTCCACAGTGGGGGTGAGTAATGAATACACTGTGTCTCTGTGACTCCAGAGTTGCTGTGCTTACGCTCGAATAATCAGACAGTATATGTATTGTGTGTGCAACAGAAGCACAAGGACTTTAGGCAGCAGGATTCTGACCCTCTGCTCATTAATCCCGATAAGTCTACATTTGATTGATAACAATTAACAAGGGATGGCACGGTGGAATTTGTGCCGGATGGATATCCCTTCCCAACTTACTGCATTCAAGAGTTATTCTCATTATACGGCTCCTCTGTGGAATTCACGATTGACAAGATTTACAAACGGATCCGTCCATAGGAAATGAAGCGTGCCCAAAGTAACCTTCTCGTAATTCATATTTGTATCATGTTAAGTGAGCTGTCTACTTTTTGATTTTGTCTTTAAAAGTCCGCTCATTCATTTTTATTTGTTAATTTATCATTCCATTAGGCATTATGACAAGTAACATCTGCTATATTCCCTAGCTGTCCTCTCTTTCTTTTTCTTGGTGTGAACTGCATGATGAAGCATGGGTATATAGACACAGTATACAGTGCTCAATGAATCCTAATAGGTTCACAATGAGGGATATTGAGATCATTCCACTTATGTGACCTCTCTTAATAAAAAAACAGCAATAACAGGAGTTAGAAAAGTAGATGAGCTGTTTTTTTTTTGTTGTTTTTTGTTTTTGGAGTAGAGAGAAAGTGGGTTCGAGCCAGCATTCTGTATTTTCTGGGTGGGCCTGAATCAGTCCAAAAGCCATCATTGTCCAGCTGGCTCCAAGCTCACTCATGACTGCGAACAACCATGGGCTATTAATCCTTTCAAAGCATTTGCTTAAAAATGCTTGTGACTGTTTTACTCTGAATCAGAATGTAATCAATCCATGAGCTTGTTTTGTAGGGTTTGGATTGCTAAAGTAAAACAGAATGATTATAAAGCTGAACACTCATTCATCTTTGTAAAGATGGAATCAACTTTTTTCAGCATATAACAGCTCAGTCTGTGTCTCTGTAGGACATGTAAAGGCATGTGAGTGGTCATCTCAGCTCTGCTGTATCCTCACAACCCCATCAATATCTGAGATCCACAGTGACGATTAACAAGCCAAGGGCGAACGGTTCAAAAGCTGACAGAGATGATGACAGATGTTTTAGAGCAACTTGTCAACAACGTCCTGAGGCGATGCGAAGTGTCTGTCTTCCTCTTTCAGGTTCTATTTGCTAGTAGACTCTAAATCTACAGTGGAGTATCTGCTTGCATGGCAGGTTATTTCAAACTTGATGGAGCTGTAAATGTTTTGCACCATAAATAGCATTTACAAGAGGATAATCATACACTTTTAGTTTTTGCAAGATATTTATTCATTTGGAACTTAAAGTATTTGATTAACACCCTGGAACTTGTTGGAAGCTTCTTGTTGTCCTGTGTTAAATAAGCTAACTTCATGACAGTCATTTAGGGAATCATCTTTATAAGTATAAAGTCTTGAAGAAGAACTTGACTGTAGTGGTGTTTAACTCCAGCTAATACCCAACATGAGTTCAAGCTAACGCTGCAGTCATGTGTTCTGATGCAGTTCAACATTAATCCCAGTCAGCTGAGATAGAAATAGCAGTTTCACCAGAAAATGAAACATAAACATGTCTAACAGTTGAAAAAAAAAAATCTATAGATGCAGAGGCTATATTCCCATGCCCATCTGCAATGTTTAGATAAAATAGCCTATGTGCACTTTTCATTAAGAAATTTGGTAACACTTTAGAATACAGTTCCTTTGTTAATGAATAACTACACTAGAACCAATAAGTAACACAATCTAGTATTAACTAACAAGAAACTCTGATTAATGAACTTAAGTAAGTAATAGCGCACAGATGAAAGTGGTACTTCACTATTAACTAATCAATAACTACTATTTTTTTCAATGCTTCGAACTACTGAAAAAGTTTATTAACAATCTAGTAACTAAAAAAACTCTGATTAACGAATTAGTAAGTAGTGCGCAGATGAAAGTGTTACTACATACTTCTGTGGGAATTCTGTGCGCTATTACTTACTAATTCGTTAATCAGAGTTTCTTGTTAGTTCATAATACAGTAGTTAAAGGGTTAGTTCACCCAAAAATGAAAATTCTGTCAGTATTTACTCACCCTCATGTTGTTTCAACCCCGTAAGACCTTCGTTCATCTTCGAAACACAAATTAAGATATTTAAGATATTAAGATCGCTCCTGCATACAGTCCATAGGCTTCTTGAGGGACTGGCTCTTGCTGTCCTCGAAAAGTCATTAAAGACATCGTTAAAATAGTCCAAGTGACTACAGTGGCTCAATCTTAAGTTTATCAAACGACGAGAACACTTTTGTGCGCAAAAAAACAACAAAAATAACGACTTTATTTCAACTATCACTTCCTTCTCCATGAGCCTGTAAGTCAGTTAACGTAGTGTGATTGCGTAGCTACGTCACACGTAGGCTCACTATTGGCTGATGCTGGTCATGTGTGTGTGATGCGTGTGACGTACAATAACAGAAGCTTACGCTATTAAACTAGTAACCTGACTCGCGCAGAGGGAGAAATAAACGAATAGTTGAAATAAAGTCGTTATTTTTGTTGTTTTTTGCGCACAAAAGTGTTCTCGTCGTTTGATAAACTTAAGATTGAGCCCCTGTAGTCACTTGGACTATTTTAACGATGTCTTTAATGACTTTTCGAGGACAGCAAGAGCCAGTCCCTCAAGAAGCCTATGGACTGTATGCAGGAGCGATCTTAATATCTTAAATATCTTAATTTGTGTTCCGAAGATGAACGAAGGTCTTACGGGGTTGGAACAACATGAGGGTGAGTAAATACTGACAGAATTTTCATTTTTGGGTGAACTAACCCTTTAATAGGAACCGTATTCTAAAGTGTTACCAGAAATTTTGCCCATTACACTGTAAGAAAAAGTTGTTGCCTAAATAACACTGAGTCGAATATTGTATAACATAAAACAATTTGAAAGTTTCTGAAGAAAACGAGAGTGGTGCTTGCCATGGTAAAACTCAAGGTATTGTTGCTAGGGTATTCTAGGCAGTTTTCTGGGTTGTTAGGCATTGATATTGCTGGAGTGATCCGGGTGTCTCCAGGGTGTTAGTTACTTTGTGGCTACTATAAGCAGTTTCTAGTGTGTTCTAGGTGGTTGCTAGGGCATTGCTAGGGTGATTTGGGTGGTGTTATACAGTACTACAATAAGTTTAAGGGGAAGGGAAAAAAATCATTTCTCATGTACAGTTTATTTACCTCAACCAACCTCAATCGGGAAATAGTTTATCAGGAAAAGAGTTGAAACACTAAAACAAGTGACCTTAACCCTAGCTCATCAAGCTTTCGGTTCCCATCTTCAGATCTGCCAATCATACAGACCCCATCCTACTCACTCCATTTAGCTCAACTAAGACTGAGCCAAGCCTCTGAAGCACCTAAGAAGCTGTAAAATACCCAGAACTCAGCAGGAAATTAACATGCAGACGTCTAGACTTAAATCACAGCACAATGGAGGAACTTGGAGAGAGAGAGAGGAAAGGGGGCTATTTAGTTTTCCTCTCATAATTATCTTAATGATTGCTTAGAAGGCCACTCTACAGAGTGCTAAGTATGTCAACATGTATTTAGTTCAAATCTTATTGTTCATACTAATAGGGGCCTCAACTCAGTGAACTTGAAGGATGTTGAGCAGTAACAGGGTGGAGTTACAATTTACATGGGAAGTAAAGGATGTTATGTGGCCTCTGGAGGGATGAGGGAGTGTAATTTTGCAGTGCTTAAACCAGCATTGGTGAAATTAAAATAATAGGCTGCTTTTAGTTAATAGTGCACACATTTTTCACCAGACAAGGACACACCTCTTTTCGAATGTTTTGCTTGCATTTGTGTTAAAGGGGTGATAAAATGGTACATGGAGTTTTACAAGTTGATTGTACTGAAATGTGTGTTGGCAGTGCCAGTACACAACCATCATATAATGATAAAAAGTCCATCCAGTGTTTTTGTTTTAATCTCCTTATATGTTTTCCCCGGCCTCGAAATTGAGCCATTCATTTTTGTGACGTCAATAAAACGGACGCCCCTCCCACAATTGTTGATTGACAGCAGCATTTCAACACAGACCCACCCTGAGCGAGCTGTCATCATAGTCCGTCATTGTTGATACGCTGTCTAAGCGATTGTGGTGTTCTTTCTTCGGTAATAACGAACACAGCAGTCATTTTGATGTTCCTAAATCCGAACCGCTGAAGACGCAGTGGCTGAGTTTTGTTTCGAAGGTAATATTCCCCACGAGCAACGTCAATGCTTTCATGTTTAAGCGCATCCTTTCTCACCAGAAGACTGATTTATAAACGAGGGTAATTATAAAGCTGATTTTGCTATGAAGCTGCTCCTGAAAAAAGAATCGGTGGCGACTATTTATGTTCCCGCTGCACCTCCAGAAGAAGTGAGTGTAAAGTTTTATTAACCTTTATATTAATCTTTGCAAATCGCGGAAAAAAGTTTTTCATGACCATTAGTTGTAACGTCAATCTGTCAACGAACTAACGTATACATCAGTAAACACACAGCATTCAGAAACGTCCTGTTTGAGCCTTAGTTTTCGAAATTCTTTGCGGCCGTCATCTTGTTCCGGGTCCGACTCCGGTTCAGATTGATACGGTTGCACAGATGTGTCCTCAGAGACTCCTGCTGTCATTCTTTCTCTAAAATATACCTTCAACTGTTGTCAAGGCAACACTCCACGTGCGTTGTATATCCAGGCGACAACATTCTAATCTGAAAGCTGAAGCCTACCCGGAAGTGCGAAAAACTGCAATACATCTCAAATCCGCTTGAAGCCGGTCCCAAAAGGGAGCAAATATCCATGGATATCATGTTAAAATCTCAATTTTCACAGCATAAATTCATATGTTTACAGTTTGGTCCCATGGACTTTTATTGTAATCTTTAATATGTTCCGAATGCCTGACAACTGCGAGGGGAGTACATTTTTTTCTAATTCGTTAGTTTAGGACGTATTTAGATAACAAATAAGGGCGGTTAACTTTGATTGACAGTTGATAACGGGCTGCGCCGAGTGAATTTGACGTCTCGGCCATGATCTGACACAACACATCATACCACCTCTGTATCCTTTCTGAAACTTTTGTATCTTGTATTTCCCAAGATTTTCCAGTATGGCGCCGCCCATACCCCCCATAAACAGCCTCAACCCCGTTCTTCAGAGAGTCTATGGGTGACATCACAGAGGCTTTGTCCATATTTTTTACAGTCTATGGTTGTATCAAACGCCATCAAAATAGAGGTGCGGAGTGAGCAAAGCTCATTATCATTTAAAGGCATATGCACTGAAACGGCGTGCTGAAAACAGAGGTGTTTTTGACCAGGTAAAATTAATATTTTCTTAAAATACTAATGATAATTTTTAATAAAGGTAAATTACAAAGTTTTCATTTAGACCCTAGACATTCATATTAACTTACAAAATTAGTTAATATGTAGAAAAATGGCATTATATGGCCCCTTTAAGAAACTAGCAAAAGCAGCATCAAACTGTCAAACATCAATCCTGTGTTGTTAATTGAAATATTAGCATCATTGTCAGATCAAAGCAGAGGACCGGAACAAACTGTTTTGATATCTTACAAGCAGGGACAGAGAATTTGAGAGAGATAAGCAGAAAGACATATACAGTTTAGCATCGGGGGACCTTCCAGACAGGAAGAGCACACTTCCACTTCCTCTTGAGGAAATATAATCTGTATGTTAAATAAACAAAGGCATGATTCTAACCAGGATTAAATAAATGTGAGAGTAAAGACTTTGCCTTTTACATATTTCAGATAAATGTTTTGATAAATTGGTTTTATCATTGATAATAAGAATTGAGAATCAAATCGGCATATTCAAATTAATGAATACTCATGTGACTCTTGAAGAGTGGAATAAGGATGCTGAAAATTCAGCTCCACCATCACAGGAATAAAATAAAACCATATCAAAACAGAAAATAGTTATTTTAAATGGTCTTAATATGTAACACATTGTTAATCAAATAATTGCAGCCTTGGTGAGCAAAAGAGACTTCACATTAAGTCTTACTGACCCTGTGTGCTCTTCTACTCTGTAAAAAGACAATCTAATCTAATTGCAAAAACAACCGCAATGGGCTCATGCCATTTGCTTTTATTTTAAAAGTCTGTTTGAAAGCTAAGCTCCAAACTTGCCAAGTGAACATGCTGAGTTTTTAAGATGCATGCAGTTCACAAACCCATAATTTAATTAGCAAACAAAATCACAGCCACATTTCGACTGTAATAAAAGACTCTCTGAAGAAGAATGAAGCTCTACAAGTCTGCATTTTAAACCGATCTGGGCTGGATTTTCAGCAGCATTTTAGTATATACTTGGCCACGGTAATAAAGGGTGTACAAAAAAAAAAAAGAAAGAGCGAGAGAATGGAGGAGGGCTCTCAGAATAGAGTTCACCCCTAAAGAGTACCTCTAGTGCAAACTGAAACCTGGCTCAGGCAGATCTATGAGCCCATTGAAGAACCCATGGGAGGAAGAAAACTATAGAGTAGAAAGGCCCAGATTGGATAAAAAGCCTTTTTCCTTAGCCAGCATCTGTATGAGAGGTATTATGTTCCTTAACAGTGTTCCTGTTATATTGGTTATAATAACAGCGCTAAATCAGAGAAAACAGTGTCACAGCTATACGAGACATAAAACTTTGTCCTTGGAAACACTGCATTTCTGACAGCTCTTCCAGGGAACTAAAACCAGTGCTACTTTTGTGTCTCGCGTATAACACTGCTTAGGGCGATTGCGAAGTTTTTCCCTTTTCTTATTAGATATTATCTAAATCTATAACCATAAATGAATTTTAAAAAAAACGAACTAAAATACAATAAAATACACAAAAAAATTATTTTTAATTGATTTCTTAGAAACACTGCTAATATTTGAAATCAACCCAAACAAACACAGCCCTCCCTTCATTGCTCATTGCACAAACACAAAATGCAAGCGTGGATGTCTCCTTACGTGAAGAGAAGTAAAAAATGAATTAAAGATACCTCACGAACGACAAGGAAGAACAAAATACGAACACACAGTACACAACACAAGAGTTTGTTGTTATTCGGCAGCAGCATACCGGCTCCAGACAAATAATGACAATTAAACCTGTCCTGTTACATCTAACATTACAACAACAGCATATTTTGGTTCTGTGTAACATAGAAAAACTGATGTTCACGTATGAATCAAAAACAAAGCAAACTCTGTGTCCGTTTTCAGGCCGTCCCGCTTACCGGCAGGTCTCTCTAACGCTGGAAAGCTGTTTTAATATTAACGCAGGTCTTAAAGCTCTCGCCTGATCATAAGATGTTCCTCTGACCTTTTCTCTATTGTAATGTCTCTCAGCGACCTCTCTTTCTACAGTTTTTCTTCAAATTTCCCTCTTGCTCACTCTCTGTGGACATGCCCCCTACTGCTGATTGGCTATAAAGGCCAATTTATACTTCTGCGTAGGGTACGGCGCACAGACGCGTACCATACCGCGTACCCTTCGCCGTAGCCTGACGCGCACCTCCTCAAAAATGTAACTACACGCCGCAACAACGCGGACCGCAAGATCTGTGATTGGTCGGCTTGGTGGCATTGCATTTTCTCCTACGCATTTCCGCACGTACCATCTCCTCTGACGTCTTCTCTCGTTTCTGCCTTTTAGTTTTAGTAATTTCACTAAAATTAACTGTTTTTCCACCTCAATAAGCTCCAACTCCAACATGATCCGCTCTCTTTCAGTCGCCATTGCTTGTAGTAACCTAGCCACGAGGAATCTAAACACAGTGTAACATTAAAACCCTCCGCCGCCAACTAGCGTTTCGGAGCAGTACTGCAGAGCAACCAAGACCTGAAAGCAGAAGTATAAATGCTCACGACGGCATCGCCTACGTGCGTAGCCTAGGCCGTACACTACTGCGTACCCTCGACGCAGAAGTATAAATTGGCCTTAAGTGTGTTGTGGTGCAGTCCAGCATTTTTCAGAAATCACTGACGGGTCCTGATCAGCCTGTGTGATGGTTTATTTTCCCCTACTATCTCTTACATAAGTTATCTATCTCTCAGGACTATGAGTACCCCAACCATCCTCAGACCACTCAGCACCAGAAGAACGACCGCTGTCCCCCGCCGCCCCAGATGCTTCCCGAGCGGGCCTGTGAGGTGCCGGGTTGCCGGTCAGATTCTGAGTGTGAGAGACACAAACGGTGCTGTTACAACGGCTGCATCTACGCCTGCCTGGAGTCAGTGCAACCTCCACCCGGTGAGAAAACACACTTTGTTCTGCTCAATAATCACTACAAGCAACCCCACAGACACACACATTTGCTTTAGCAGAGCAAATGGATTTTACAATGAATTGATCCTCTCATGAGGTGTGAGTTACTGAGCAGGGTGTGTGTCAGGTAAATCATGAGTACTTTTGGCCATGCTTATAATGTGTATTGATTTGTTTTTGGTCAGTGCTGGACTGGTTGGTTCAGCCCAAGCCGCGGTGGTTAGGAGGGAACGGCTGGCTTTTAGATGGACCAGAGGAGGTTCTGCAGGGTGAGTATCGATTAATCAATGAATTAGTGGACAGAGTGACTCACTATTATTTGTTGTTTGGAACAATATTAGAGTTTTGAATTGTATTGAATTTAACGTGAATGAAAACAAGGTGTTGCAATCACATGCAGATCACATGTAATTTTCACAACTTTCAAACCTGTTTTATGCGTTTTTTTATGCGTTTATGCCTGTTTATGAGTTTTTGCTGAAAGTTTTTGGAAAGATGTTTCATCAGCTGAACACTTCTACCTAACAGGCTCATTTTTATTCTTGTCAACAATTAAATAAAACACCACCCTGACTAATGTCTATTCATGTCCAAAAATCAGTTGCACTTTATTTTACAGTATACATGCACTACATACAGCTACTTACAGTGTACTTACCTTAGAAAGTATAGCAATACAAGGTAACAGGGTAAGGTTAGGTTTAGGGATCAGTTCAGGGGGTTAGTGCCTCGTTATTACCTAGTTATTATAATTCCTATAATAAGTACATGTATGGAACATGTGTAACAGGGCTATAAAATAAAGTGCTACCAAGAAATCTATTAGAAATAAGAACATTTCGAAAATTGAGAAAGGCTAATAAATAATTAAATCATAAAAAATATTAAAATAAAACAAATAACTTAACAAATAAATAAATAAATATATAATAAATAAATAATTAACAAATACATACATATAAACACACACACATACACATATTTTATAATTTATAAATATAATGTATAATATATTTGATTTTATATTATAGACAATATTTATTTATTTTATATAAAATTATTTTATATTTATTTTTTAAATAATTTTTAGATTTAATATTTTATGTTATGCTATATAAAAGATGTATTTGCTTATCTGCATGTTACCATTAACCAACATTGGAACCCTGATCACGTGACAAAGATTTTTAAATATAAACCTAACATTTTAGGGGGTTTAAGGGGTTTGGCCATTTTTATTTTATTTTATTTATTTATTTTTTGAGGAATATATATAATATCTGTGAAAACTCTCCAGAATGGTCTAACTGGCCCATTCTAGCAGCCAAACTTTGACCCCTCTGTATATACATCCCTAGCAGTGACACTGCCACCTGCAGGTAGTTTACTGGCAGTATACACACATATGCACACTTTGCCTGTGATAAAACATTCTGGTGCTCAAACCAATATTCCCATAATAATACAAATGACCTATTGTGCAACATAACATATATTAGTAAACTGGTTTGAATAGATATGCATAAACCAGTGACTTGCTTTTCTGTGTTTGTGTAGCTGAGGCCTGCAGCACCACAGAGGATGGAGATGAGCCTTTGCTCTGCCCAACTGGTTACGAGTGCCACATCATAAACCCAGGAAACCCCTCTGCTGGGATCCCAAACCGAGGCCAGTGCATCAAACAGCGTGGAAACTCAGGTCTAAAATGGCTCCTCCATCCAATTGTTGATTCATACATCCATTCCTCTGTCCACTCAAACATGTGTTTACATTATATGGTGGTTATAAACATTGTTCCAGTAAACACCTAAGCAAGATTACATTCAACATACAACAACAGATTGAATTAATACATTTAAATCAAATATAAACTCATTTAAATGTTCTCCCTCTAGATGGACGTAGCCTGAGACACAAGTCCTTCAAAGATTACAAGGATTATTTAGGTCAGTGTGACCACCAATTTATTTTGTGTTTCAGCTGTAGGAAGGGGGAGAATAAAAAGCAGCCATACTGACAATGATTTTATCTTTATTCATCAGGAAGTAACTCCAACAATGCAGTGAGCTATGAGAAACATCCACACAAGCACTTGGGTTGAGAGAGGTGAGTTGGGTTTAGTTGAGTTTTACCATTGCATATGAATCCTGATTTTTGTCATTTCTGTTTTACAAGAGGTATTATCTTTTTTTCTCATTTAGGTGACTGAATGTGGGTTCCATTTTAGAGGACGGTAGTAACCCCACCCATCAAATCCAACATAACTGGACAAGCCTTTCTCTTCAGCTTAAACCAGAGATCATTTCACATCTGGTGCTATTTTCCATGGCTGCTTAATATGGAGACAGAAATGGAAAGTTAAAATTCCCTACCTCTTACAAAAGCCAAAAAACCGAACAGAAATGATCAAAGAGCTCATCTGTCTTATGTATGCATAGCTTCGGGTAAAACGCACATTCCCTCAGAATTAACTATATTTGAAAGTTTTGAGAATAATACTTTGTGTGGTTTTTATGCTGCTGAGTCTGAACTTTTTTTTCTTTTTTTCTCAAAAAAAATCATGTGTTTAAGTGTTTTTTCTCGACCATAACCAAAACAGCAGTTCAATTCTAGCTGTGTTCCATCACTGTAAAATATTTGTTTTTCATATGGTGCTTCAATCCAAAACTGCAGTTATTTGTTGTTTACTGTGACTCATTGTCCAGGTCTGTGTTTTCTCCACTTCTCTCTGATAAGCTATAAGAGTCTGACAAGTGGGACAAACCACAGTCTTTAATAAATCAAGACATTTGAAATTGGTGCTGCATATTACTCCATTGTAATTCCAAATAAAACAGTTGACAAAATATATCTTTGTCGTGATATGTTTTTATACGTGGTACAAGCGAGGTTTGAATGTAATGAAGAGAGATGTCCTCTTCAAATTTTATTCACAGATTTTATCCAGCAAACCTTTACTTTAAAAAAATAAAAAGGTAGCTATATAAATATGAATAGTATGTTTAATGAAACCATCTTGCATTTATTTTGTTAAATATTGTGGTGTAAAATACATACATTTCCTCTCTCAATTTTATGGGAAAAATAAACTAGCTTCACTAATGGTTGCACTTTATTTTACAATAGGTGCACTTATTTTCAGTGTACACCTACAGTAAGAAAGTACGGTAACTGGGTTAAGGTTAGGTTTAGGGGTGGGTTCAAGATTAGTACTGCCCAGTTATTGTAATAACTGCACATATAGGCTAATGTACATGGGGGACAGGACATACCTCACTAATGAAGATGAAAAGTGCTTTTAATTTATTTATATTTTGACCAAATTTCACATTCATAAAGGCAAATTTATAAGACTTTATGGTTTTGTTGACTGGAGTAGGTAGGCTACATCAGAGATGGGCAACAAGTTTTCGTTATTTATGTTATTTATATATTTATATTTATGTTATTTATTTCTATATTACTTTATTTACTGTTTTATAAGTGGTTAATTTTTAATATTTGCAAGTGAATGAAAGAGTGAGATAATGTTTCTTGAAGAATAGGCTACAAAGCTAGTGTAAGCTTTCTTGAATCTTGAATGAGTATATTGATATTAAAAAAAATGTAACATTAATAATCTAATTCATGTAATTATATTCTTATTATAGAATTAACTTGTATGTAAAATTACTTATAATTAGTTTCGTGTTGTTTCGGGACCTTTATTTTGAAATTACTTTTGGGTAGGCGTGGGTTTCTCTTCCGGGGTCAAGAGTAACCAACGTGGTGGATCCTGCTGCACAACGTGTGTACTAACTTACTTCTAAGTGGAAATATAAACATCTGAAAGAGAATAAAATACACTCGAAAAGAGGGTAAGAAACGAGATTGGGATTTTGTTATTGCATTCCGTTCTTCTCGGATCATACGGTAAGGCTGTATCACCTAAATAAGTAGAAAGTTGGTTAACCTAAGTCACACTCACATCAGAAATAAACCATAACATGATACGGGAGCCACTTTTTCAAAATATTCTAACAAATATTGATATTTAAACGGGTAACGTTACGTTTATAGTTAAATGAACTCCTCGTGACCAGTGACCAGTTCACACTGAGTCAAATAACGTTACTTGACCATTATATTAACTTACCGCTTCTTTGACAAAAACAATGTTATTATGATGTCTATATATTTCAGATCAGCGATGGGGGAGTTTAAAGTTCACCGGGTTCGGTTCTTTGATTACATGCCGTCAGCAATCAGAGCCCTGGCTTTCAACCAGCAGAACGAAACGATGGCAGTGGCGAGGATGGACGGAGCTGTGGAGATTTTCCTCTGTTCAGACAGATTTTTCCAAGGAAAGGTACACGTTAAGTAATGCTTTGTCATATTTATCAAATCAGTGATCATAGACATCTTTATATTGGTTCCAGAGCTGTTGAAACAATGGTTTTTGACCAGCAAACAGTGTGTTTAAGATGCTTAACTATGTTTCCTATGTCCACAGATCATCCCTGGCAGAGAGCAGTGTGGGATTGAAGGACTGACATGGGTTGGTGAGCGTCTGTTCAGTGCAGGACTAAACGGTCAGATAACTGAGTATGACCTGATAAACCAGAGAGTGAAATACACCATAGATGCATATGGAGGGCCAATCTGGGCCATTACAGGCAATCAACAAGGAACACACTTAGCGGTAGGTTTGCTTTCTTTAAGGTTTTTTTTCCACCCAAAAATGATCCCATAATTTACTCACCCTCAAGTAGGGATGCACCGATCCGATTGTTTTGCCGGATCGGGTATCGGTCAGACGAGCCTGGTCCAAATCTGATATTTTGCGTATGCTATTCTGTTATTTTTAAGCCCCACAAAAGGCACAAAAACATTATAAAGCACCATAATGTTTTTGTGTGCTATATTATAAGTGTTCTGAAGCCATTATATAGTATAATGTGAGATGTATATTAATATTTAAGTCATTAAATTCAAGATCATGTAAACTTTTCCCTCCGCTGCGGCTGTCAGTCACTCTCCATTCAGCATCGTCACCGAACGCAACACGCTGCTGCCTCATGCTAGTAAACGCATTATCAGAGATGTTGGTGCAAGAGGGAGGGGAACTTATTTTGATTAAAGACTACGAGGGCACATGAAACATAAACTTATAGTAAATATTATATTCCATAAGTAAGAATTGTCCATTTTTGTAGGTTGGTTGTGAAGACGGAACTGTGAAATTGTTTGCCGTGAATGAAGACACAATACAGTTTGAGAGAAATCTGGACAGGCAGAAAGGTGAGTTTCAGATGCATGTCTTGAATGGTTAGTTTATTAGAAAATAGAAAACGTTTAAACATCTGTCGACCTTATTCCATAGGCCGCATCATCTCTCTGTCCTGGCACCCATCAGGCTCCAAATTAGCTGCTGGGATGATAGATATGATCCAGATTTTCAATGTGGAGACAGGTAAAAAGAATTTGTCTTTCTTCCAAAACACCTTATTGCAATCATGTAGAATGAGTACATGAGCTGGAGAACTTTAATGTAGTCATGTGTGAAATGTTTTTTTTTTTTAGGCCAGTCTATTCACAGAATGCTGACTGACAGGGGGATATCCCGCAGTAAGGAGTGCATGGTGTGGTGTGTGGTCTACCTCTCGGATGGGACCATCATCAGTGGAGACTCTGGGGGAATGGTCAAAATGTGGAATGATCACACTGGTACACTAATCAAAAGCCATAATGTTTCAAAATGTGACGTGCTGGCTTTATCGGCCTCTCAGGTGAGGAGATTGCTGTGAATTTGCAGTCACATTCATGACTTTATAGGCTAGCTTTTAAAATATTTTTATAGAAGTCTCTTATGTTCACCGAGGCTGTATTTATTTAATTAAAAATACAGCAAAAAGTGTAATATTGAATTGAATTTTCAGCAGTGTCAGTGCCATTCTAATATTCTGATTTGGTGCTTAAGAAACATTCCTTATTATTATTAATGTTGAAAACAATTATGCTGTTTAATATTTTTGTAGAAACCATGATGCATTTTTTTTCAGGATTATTTGGTGAATTTAAAGACAGAAATAGAAATCTTTTGTAACATTTTTTATGTATTTACTGTCACTTTGATCCTTTTAATGCATTCTTGTACATATAGAGTACATGACATACTACAAGGAAAATTCTTATTGTACCCTCTTGAATGACAGAATGAGGACAGCTTTGTGGCCGGGACATCCGAAGGATTTGTGGTACAGTTCCAGTTCATCTCTTCGGTTCTGGAAAAGAATGACAAAGAATGGGTCAGAACCAGAACATTTAGGAACCACACTCATGATGTCAGAGCCGTGGCGGAGATCACCACGGCTGTGGTTTCGGGAGGTGGGTTTTTTTTTTAGATGATTCGAACAGATCTGCCTTCATTACACAATCCATCACATGTCTGAAGTATTTTCGTTTAAAAGAGCTTTCTCGTCTCAGGTATGGATACACAGCTGGTCGTGAGACCTTTATTAGACAAGATTGAAGTGAAGTCATCGGCCTCTGCCTTCCAGAAGATTATCTTTCCTCATGTGAGTATTGTGAAGTTACTGTGAAATTGTGGCATGCACATAGAAAACGTGTTTGTAATTGACTCTTAAAACTTTTTCTGCTCTTTTTCATTGCAGAGGAGTCTGGTGTCCTGTGCAAGAAATGCAGGCCTGATTCTTTTCCAGTACCCTGGTCATTTGGAGCTTTGGAGACTAGGAGAGAGTGAAGGACAAGGTGAAGATGTTACTCAATGTGATATTTATATTGACTACCAGTTAGATGTTTGAACTCACCTAATCTTTCTTTACAATTACCATTTCCCACATTTTAGAATGATAAAAAGTTAATCAAAAGCCAGGAAGCGATGTAAATAGAATTGTGGGAATTACACATGATCTTTCAGAAATCATACTAATATGCTGATTTGGTGCTAATTAATCTTTTTGTGGAAGCCATTTTTTTTTTCAGGATTCTGTGATAAATAAAAGGTTCAAAAGACTCTTCAACATTTATTAGAAGGGAGAAAACTTTTTGAACATTATAAATGTAACTGTCAACTCGAGTTGTGATGCTAAAAAATCAGCTGTCATCACAGTAATAAATTACATTTTAAAGTGTATTAAAATAGAAAAGTTATTTTTAAATTGTAATACTGTTTCACTTTATTACTGTTCAAACGCAGCCTTGATGAGCATAAGATACTTTATTCAAACACATTAAATAACATTATGCCAACCCCAAACCTTTGAAAGGTGGTGCGTGTAGTGACTAATGGCGCTTTTCCACTGCTGGTACGGCTCAATATGGTTCGGCGCGGCACTGTTCGGGTCGCTTCGCTTTTCCACTGTGTGGTACGACTCGGCTCAGCACGGCTCGGTTTGCTTTAGCTTGGTTTGCTTTTACACTGCAGTTAGTACTGTTTCAAAGTGGGTGGGATTTAGTCTGATCATTATAGTTTATCCACTCCTTGGCAACCAACGAGAGGAACGTCTGCACTTTGTTCACTGACCACAATTCAGCCATTCCT